AGCCACTGTTCAATGCATAAGGAACCCAATTTAACAGATATTTCCTGAATTCCCGTTATGGTGAAACATTACCTGTACTAGACGTACCTTGAGATCCTCAGAGATATAAGACAAAGAAAGTAGCTGGGACTTTCATTTGTTCCCCTTCCTTCCATTTCTTAGTAAAATTCACTCCAGGACTTTGGAAGGAAGAGGCAGTGCTAGCAGCAAATATTTTTATTCTTAAAGGGGTTAGGAGTGAAGCCAGTCACTGCAGAATTGCAGGCACTGGAACACCAAATAGGAAGTTCCCAGAGATTCTCATCACCATATACAAAAACCTAAAGGAACAGGTCAAAGACACCATGAGAATTTCTGAAGCACCTATTATTGCAAGGAAACCCACAGAACATTGGGTCAGAACCTGAACAACAGAAATCAAAGCTTTATAGTTCTCAGGTTGTTTAGTCTACAGCTGAGTTTCCTAGCCATGCACAGCAGTGATTGAAGAGAGATAATCTGTGCAAATGGGGAGACGCAAAACACTTTTCACAGGGAAAATTGACAGTCCAAGAAAGAAATACACTCAACTTCAGGTCCCTATGTTCAAAATGTTTGGGTAAGAGAGCTAATGCTTTCATTCCCCAAACAGCTTGAGGCTCTCCAGAGGAGGACTGCCTTTTTTCAGGTCAGTTCACCTGTCCACAGGCCTTACTTACCTGAGCAAATAGCCACGAGTTCTTTTGGCTTTGGGGCTGAAAGGAAAGGGAAAGGGGTGCCTGCTTTAAACCATCATGCCATGAGATGCTGTCTCTGAGTCATTGCTTGGATTCTCACATTTTTCAAATATTTCTCAATTGGCAGGTTGAGATAACACTGGAGAAAAAACTTCATTTGCCAAATATTTATGTTGTCAAATTTGGACTGAGTCCTTTCCTTTATACACTAGACTTTACTTTTTCCTGGAAGGTAACATCTGAAATGGAAACAACATTACTTGGAATCTTGAGAACCTCTGAAAGACCCTTAATGCCCTGACTCACTTCACTCCTCTCTGATACAACACCAGGA